CAGGGCCTGGAGGGGAGGCTCCTGGGAAGTGGGGGGTCCCAGCCCTTGGGGGTGCAGGGCCTGGAGGGGAGGCTCCTGGGAAGTGGGGGGTCCCAGCCCTTGGGGGTGCAGGGCCTGGAGGGGGGGCCCCTGAGGCCTGGGGATGAGGGAACACCGGGACTGAGCTTGGGAGCTAGGGAATGATGCAGAGATGGCCCCGTGCGACAGAGCCACCGGCCCCAGGACAGAACGGACATGGGATCAGCCCCCCATGAGCGGTGACTGCCATGGGGCCGTAGCCCTGACAGCGCTGGGCCCTCTGGCTGGCTGGCGCTGCATCCCCACCTGCTGAGGCGTGAGCTGCACAAAGCGGCGAAGCGGTAGGTGAGGCAGCAGCGGCTGGATGGTGCGGAGGAAGCCTGGGCGCCACGTGGGCACGTCCCCAAGGAGCTGAGCCTGCAGCAGCAGCTTGGCAAAGGCGCTTTTCTGCACCAGCTTCATGTGGGTGCTGTGACGCCGCAGAGCAGCTAAGCTGGAGGGGGCGGCACGTTAGAGCGGGCATGGCCTAGAGAGCCCCACTGAGCTCCGCCTGCCCGGCGCCAAGCTGGCTCGGCTCTCCTGCCCCAGTACCCGCTCCTCAGCCCTGGGGCACCCCCATGCTGGACTGGACAGCACGGCCTCTGCAAGGCAGGCCCTGGGAGAGCTGGGGGTCAGAGCAGGGGCTGTGTGACCCGGTGCAGGGGGCTCAGATCTGGGGCTGTGTGACCAGGTGCAGGGGGCTCAGATCTGGGGGCTGATCTGGTGGATGTGTGAGGGGACCAGGGCACATTACAGGTCATGCGGGGCACTGGGGAGCCGGTTATGGGGCACGCGGGGCTCAGCGTGGGAGTGGCATTACCAGGTGTAAGGGGCTCAGAGTGGGGGGGCAGTTTGAGGTGAGGCAGGGCTAGGGCTGAGGCAGGGGGTGTTACGGGGGCACGTTCCAGGGCCTCACTCACACGCTCTCATTGGCTAGCAGGGCAGGCGGGACTCTCATGATGTCGGACACGGCCATGAACGGCATGAACTGCGACAGGTCAACAAAGAGCTGCGGAGTGAGCTGAGGGAACCGGCCCATCAGCCGCGAGGCAAGAGACTGCAGCGCTTGCCCATCCGACATGGGAACCTGTGGGAGCAGCGGGTTAGGGCTCCCCGCACGGTGGCAGGACCCCAGCCCTTGGGGGCCAGCTGCCCCCATGTCCACGCGAGGAGAGCCCCTAATGCGGGCCAGTGGCCACAATGCATCCTCATCGCTAAGGCACCAGCGACCCCCCGCCAGCGACCTGCCCCCTCCCGCTGGTGCATGCTGCCCACCTGCAGCCGGGGCCAGGAGCGGTGCAGCAGGGACAGGAAGCGCTGCACTGCCTCGCTCTCCGCCGACAGCAGCAGCTGCTGGAAATTGTCCTGTGGCATCTGCAGGTATTCCTGTGGGGAAGGACAGCGCGTCACGGCGGGGCCCACGGAGCTGCGCGGCCAGGGCAGGGCCCACGGAGCTGCGCGGCCAGGGCAGGGCCCAGCTAGGCTGGAGTCCCCATCAAACACGAGAGCGGGTGCCAGGGCAGGGTGCATGGGCTGCGGGAAGGTGGACGTGTCTTACTGGAGTACGGGGCACCCGCCCCCCCCCCGGGGGCACCTATGGAATCTGGGGGTGCAGGGAGGGAGTGGGAACAGCCCCCAGGCCCTGCTGAGCGGGGTCAGTACCTGCACAAGGACTTCCAGCGCCGGGGCACCCTCTTCTCTTTGGATCAGATCCCAGAGCACAGGCTGCCAGAGAGAGCAGGAGAGCTCTCAGCAAGGGACCCTCCGCTGGCCCATCCCCCCGCACCCCTGGACCCCCAGCACGCCTGCGGCTACCCTCCGATTCCCTGGGAAGGGGAATAAGCTGCGTTTGCCACTGGGGTGCTGTTGCCAGGGCCAGAGGCGGGACTTCTCCAGAGGTCTGGGCTCTTTCCCTCTGTCACTCTCCTGGCCCCAGGACAGTCCTGGATTCCAGCAGACCAACAGGAGCTCTTATTCCAGAGATGGGTCATCTGGGCCCCTGGCTGTGCAGGGCCTGACCCTTCCCCACAGCGCAGAAGCCACTGGGCTGCCTGGTGCGAACGGGGCAGGGGAACGCCAGGGTAGCAGCTGGGACTGTGCTCCAGGCAGTGGGCCACCGTGAAACCAGCAAAAAACTGTGTTCACCAAAGGCCCCCGGGTCCGGTGCTGCCCGACGGTGCCTAGCCTGATGGGACCCAGAATCTCCGGGGAGGTCTGTAGGGCTATGCAATTGCTCAGCTAGCTGTTAAATTCCCCATTAAGCCCCCCATGGTCGCTGCTGGGGAGCAGCACAAACAGGGCAGCTCACAGCCAGAGCTGAACAGGGGCTTGCGGACAGCCCTCGCCCCAGGGGACGACTAGGTCAGCTCTCTCAGGGGGTCTGTGGAGCCACAGAGCTCCCCAAGTGGCTCTAGGCAGACGGGCCACTCCCTCCCCACAGGGCATGGAACCGAGTTAGGGTGACCAGACAGCAAGTGTGAAAAATCGGGACGGGGGTGGGGGTAATAGGAGCCTATATAAGAAAAACTCCCCAAAATCGGAACTGTCCCTCTCAAATCAGGACATCGGGTCACCCTAAACCTAGTCCCCGGGCTCCCAGGAACGACCCCTAGGAAGGAGTGCTTGTCGCTGCAGCACGCTGGCCCTGCTGGCTCCGGTGCTGGACGGTGCACTGTGCTAGCCGAGTGGCCAGCCCTTCTCCTGGGGCTTCAAGCGGGTTCTGGGCTCAGCAGCGATTCACAGAGACCTCGGTTTGCAGCTGCTCAAAGCGCTTGGTCTCCTGCTCTCCCGGCAGGTCTGCCTTCCATGCCAGACACCGCTGCCCTCGACATGCCCGAGGACACACACCTGTCCTGCACATGGCATCTGCCTTGGGTGGTTCTGCCACAACTCCTGCACTTTGGCAGGGGTTAGACTAGATGGGCTGCTGGTCCCTGGGGGTCTAGGATTTGTACTGGAGGGGAGTATGGGCTAGGGAGGGGGCAGTGGGCTAGGACTCCGGAGACTGCAGGTTTGTTCCCGCCACTGCTGGGCTGCAAGCCCTCGTGCGCCTGGTGTCGGGCCCCGTGAGAAGCTCAGCTTTCATTGTGAACCAAGCACGTGGCTGCAGAGCGAGCCTTGAAAACAAGCCCCAGAATAGCCGGCGGCCGAGCAGCAGACAAAATTCATTCTCTTGTCAAATCTCGTGAAGTTTAGGGCCTGACTCAGGGTTTCCGGCCTCCCAGGGCTGATGACAGGGTGTCTGTGCAGCATCCCGTGCTGGGGGCCTGCTCTCCCTTGGGGGGTTGTGGTCGTCATACAGAGCTGATGACAAGGGCAGTTTGGGATCTGTCTGGCACGGAGCGCTGGCCCCATGGCACATGCGCACACAAGTGGCTGTGTCAGGGTTTGCAGCCATGAGCGATCCCACACCTCGGGGGTGCACACAGGGTTGGAGCTTAGCCCCAGCATGGCTCGTGCAGCGAAGCCCGGGGCTGAGGCGGGCGGGGAGCAGGGGCAGGAGCCTGCTCACTCGCGCAGAGGCCGGGACGGCACCACTCACACTGAAGCAGCTCAGCAGCTCTTTCTTGACGGAGGCGTCACGCTCCTGCCTCAGGTACTGGCGCACGGCCTGCAGGATGCTCCGCGAGGAGTTCCCCGTCAGCGAGGCCCAGAAGGAGCCGTTGTCCAGGAGGCTGGAGAGCAGGATGGCCTCGCTCAGCTGGTCCCTGGCTGCCTGCCCCACCTCGTCCAGCTCGGAGGAGGGCAGGGTGAAGTCCAGCAGCCGCAGGAGATAGTTCATGCTGAAGATCCAGCGGGACGTCTCCTCCTCGCAGGGCGTGAGCTGGGACACCAGCCCCAGCAGGTAGGACGCAGGGTCCCGGCAGAGCCGAGAGGCGTCCCCGTGAGAGGAAATAGGCAGGATGTCCAGGAGGCACTGCAGGAAGCACTGCCCATTCTGCAGGGAGTCCAGGCAGTGATCCATGAGCCAGGGGTGGGAAGACACCAAAGACCGGAGGAGGGAGGAATTCTCACACACCAGCTCCTGGAAGCTAGCAGGGTTCACCCCCCGGCACTGCTCCATCAGGCTAGCGTTCCTGAGCGCCTGGAGGCTCCAGGCCTGGAAATTGCAGGGATCAGAGTTCCCGAGCAGCGAGGAGTTCAGGGTCTTTGTCTGGAGCTGGCGGCCGTGGCAGAGTCTGGAGATCCAGGCGCTGCTATCCGCCTGCAGGCTCTCATTGGTGCACAGCCACTGAGTCCAGAGAGCCTGGTTTTCCAGAAAGCAGCTCCAGAAATCCCCCTGGGTCCAGGGGGCCCCGGGCAGCCCCTCCGGACAGCTGGCACCTTTGGGGGGCAGGGAGAGGTTGGCACACAACTGCTCCATCAGAGGCTGGTTGGGACTGGGCAGCTGCAGCAGGGAGGCATTGCTGCAGACCGTGGTGTTGAACTGGCCAGGGAAGTACTCCCTGCATGTCCTCACCCACATGGAGTCCCCGCTGGCAGAGGAGAAATACCAGCCGGAGCTGGAGCATGCGGCCCCCAGGTCTGAAGGAGGCTGGCTGGAGCTGTCTGAGCCATTGAATAGGCTGCAGTAAAGATACACAGTGAAGTTGGAGATGCCGGGCAGGCCTGGGATAGTGTCATTGCAGGCAGACTCCAGAACCTCGGCTGAGGGCCAGGGCGCACCCCAGGCGTCTCCAGATGCCCTCTTTGTGGCTTGGGGGGGCTTGCGGGCAGGCTGCATGCAGCTCAGGATTGGCGGAGGAGATGGGAAGGTCCTAGACCTGAACCCCAGCGTCCGGGCGTTCCAGCTGATGTTGTGCCTGATGCCCCTGTTAGCAGCAGACAGAGGAGCTGGTCCATCACCCTCTCCCTGGAGCCCATCTGCATGGGCTGGGGAAATCCCGCATGCTCGCCCTCGCCCCAAACCCTCTGGCCTTGCAAACCACACTCCACAGGCCAGGGCCCAGGGACACACTCTCCCGTCTCAGTCCTTCCACCACATCCCCCACACTCAGGCCCTGCCTCACCGCATACCCCTCAGCCACCCACCTCCTCGCCCTCGGCATAAACTGCCCCCCCCCCCAGCGGGGGATCCTCCTCCTCTGTGCAGCACTCAGCGTTCGCCTGGCCCCTCTCACATGGAGTCCCACAACTTCCCCACCTGACCCCAGTCCCTCCGGGCCAGGAGAGCCCCCTCCTGTCCCAACACAAGGCCATGGGGGGGAGGGGGTGTCAGCACCTGTGGGGGAACCAGCTCCATACACAGCCTGATTGTTAGGGGGTGTCACAGCCACGGCTGCCATGTGCCCTGCGATATCCCAGCCCTGCAACTAGCACAGCTCCCTCTTGCCTTTGCAGCCCCCGTCCATAGGGAAGGAAAGGGATGTCTCTTCCTGTCCTCCCCCCAAGAGGCCAGGGATGCAACCACAGAGCTCATGGGCCCAAAGTGGACCCAGCAGCTAGCACTCCTCTGCCCCGGCCCAGCCAGGCCCCCCTCCGAGAGCTCCTCCAGCAACTCTCCCCAGGCCGACGAGCAGTCGGCTCTGGAGCTAGGGCAGGGCCAGAGGAAGGTTATGGCCGAGGCGTCTTTGCTGAAATCCCGGGAGTCCCTGAGCCCAGGACTGGGGTGACCCTGCGTGGAGCCCGGCATGAGCAGGGGCTTTCCATCTAGAAGTTCTGGGAGCCCATGGATCTGACTGCTGGCCACGCGCCGGCCCGCGCCCATGACTCACCACAGCAGGAGCTGCTGCAGGGTCCCTGAAAAAGGAGAAGGGAAGGAGTGAGTGAGCATCTGGAGTCAGGCCGTGCAGCCCGGGCCTGGGGCCTCAGTGCCCCACGAGTCCTGGGAAGGAACGACTCACCTACAGTGCACTTCCCCTCTCGATCCGACTGAGGGACGCCGAGGGCCACCGAGACCTCGTCCACCAGCAGACCCGTCACACGTGATACCTTCCTCCGGAAGCTGGTGTAGAGCGATCGGCCCATCCTCCGCAGGAGACGCTGCTTGGCCTCCTCCAGGGCCCCCCAGAGTGTGTCTGCAGAGCCCCCCTCAGAGTCCAGCCCTGGCTGCCTGGGCCGGGGGATCTGCAGGAGGCTGCCGGCATTGGGGTCCAGCTCTCGGATGGCCCCGGGCAGCACATGGAAGGGTTTCAAGTGTTCAGGAGCCAGGACGGGGCCTGCAGGCTGCAGACGGACCCTTGGCTTCCAGCTGGTGCCCGCAAAGAGCTTGAGCAGCTGCGACATCCAGTCTGTGCTGGAGCTGCAGTTCCCACGGCCTGTCAGGGGGCAGTCGGTGCCCTGCAAGCCAGGGCCGCCCTGGCCCAGCGCCCCAGTGAGCAGCGCCTGGGCCAGAGCCTCCTCCAGGCTGCTAAGCCACGCCCAGTCCTGCTGCAGGAAGAGGAGCAGGGTCTGGTCTCTGCGGAAGAGGCTCACCAGGCTGTGGGTGAGGCTCAAGAGCATGTCCCAGTCACGGCTGCCCCTCAGCGAGATCAGGACATCCCGCAGCTGCAGAGCAGGGCTCGGGGAGGGCTGAGAGAGGAGGTGCTGCAGCAGGCTCCCCCAGGGCGTGCCCTCGAGCTCCTCCAGCTTCTGCTGCTCGAGGTGCATGGAGATGTTGTACAGAAAGCCAGAAATCTGGCTCCTGCTACCGCGGTTCTGCCACAGGGCCCGGAGGGGGGAATTCCCGACTGCAGGCAGGATCCCCAGGGACTCCAGCCCCACCAGCACGCTCCTCACCAGAGACTTCACGTCCTCCTGCCGCCTCAGGCCTGCTGGGAAGCTGGACAGGACAGAGCCACCAGACCGCCGCCCGCCCTCCAACATCAGAAAGGAGATGAGGTCTCGGACCGGGACCCTGTGCCCTTCCGGGGCTGCTCCTGCAGGGGAAGCCAAGTCGGCTGAAACTGCATGGAGCAGGGCCCCAGACTGAGAACAAGGGTCACCCCATACCAGTCAAGGATCCCATCTCCCTGACCAGTGACTGTGGGTCCACATCACCCTGCAGCTGGTGAACAAGCAGCAATTCCCAGCCAATCAGGTGCAGCACACGGGCCTCCATGGCTGCCCACCGGCAATCTTGGCTCGGGCCCCCCTGCCTGGGCACCTGGGAGCCCGCTGGGGCAGGGCCGGTATCTCTCCGCTCTCTGCCAAGCGCACGGTGCCCTTCAGGGCTCCAAAGGCAGGACCTCCCCCAGCAACTGGCTGAGTGAGGGGCGCTCCCCTCCCTCTCCAGTATGTGCAGGGCCAGGACTTGGCACTCATCCAGCCCTACCAATGGGCAACACCTGCCTCACGCCTTCCCCGGTTCTCCGAGACGGGCTGAGCACCTGCAGCTCCCCGTGCCCAGCTCAGTGCCTCTCCAGACCTGGCTATCCAGGAATCACTGGGCCCACCTGTGCCTGGGGCCTGCTGCCGTGACAGTGCCTGGGCTCTCTGCACCCACCTTTGCACGTTCACATCCCTGTGGCACTAGAAACTGGTCATTGCTGTAGCCAGGCACACGCCACTCCCAGAGAGCTGCCCACGGCGTTACTAGCCGCCCTCTTGTAATGCACCAGCAACACCGACAGGTGGCACGTTCACATCTGATCCAAGGAAATACCTTTTCATGCCACATAGTTCATCTGTGGGACTCACTGCTACAGGATATCACTGATTGACCCAGGCAAGCAACATCTTCCTGTTATCAGGAGCTATCCTGCTGGGAGACACTAGGGCACGTCTGCCTGGGCAGACAGACTTACGCTGCCTCTGCTGGAGCTAGCATGCTAAAAATAGCAGTGCGGCCATTGGGGAATGGGGGGGCTCCGGCTAGCCGCCCAAGCTCGGCCCGAGGGGGCTGAGAGGGCTTTGACTTGGAACTGTCCTGGGACAGGGTTTCCAGCACTTGGCCCCAGTCAGGGACGGGATGTGAGGCTAGTGGGGCCCTGCCACCCCAGCAGTCTGGCTTTCTGCTCCCTGCTGTCCCCTGGTTCCCTTGTGAAGCGGAGACGCTGCCTCTCAGGAACGTACCCAGGAAGAGACGCTTTACATGCCGATGCCCCCGATCCCCTCTACCCACACTCACCCGCCTGGGGCAGAGGTTGCAGCAGCAGCAGCCAGAGGCACCAGCGGGACAAAGCCATTTCTCGGTGTTCTCATGCAGGGCAGGAGCCCCCAGAGCCAGAGGTTGGGGAGGCTGGTGGTCACAGGGGCGTTCAGCCGGACTGGGGAGCAGGGAGCTCGCTGCCAGGATACAGGACCTGTACCGTGACACCAGACGCTGTCAGCGGGACTGGCAGGCGAATCCCAGCTCACCTGATCTCTTTCCGCCGGCCGAGCATTACTTACACCCAGGAAGGACGAGTCCAGCTCAGTGCTCACCTTACACTTTCCACTCAAAGGGAGGGGAGGGGAGGGGAGGAACGCCGGAGACTGCCAGGGCACGAGGGCCAAGGGGCAGGCGCCCGAGGCTGCGCTGGAACTCAGGAGATCTGTGTTTGTTTCCTGGCTTTGCCACAGATTCCCCTTGTAGCTTTCGGAAAGTCACTTGGGCTCAGATCTATTGAAATCAATGGACGTGAAGAGCCACAATATGGTCGTGGTCTGTGCAGCCCCCAGCACCAAGGGGCCCCCATCTTGGTCGGGGTCCGTGCAGCCCCCGGCCCCAGGGGCCCCCCCCATCTCGGTCGGGGTCCGTGCACCCCCCGGCACTAGGGGGCCCCCCATCTCGTTGGGGTCCGTGCAGCCGCTGGTAGCATGGGTCCAATCTTGGCTGCTGGCTCTCGGTGCCCCAGGACTGCCAGCATTGATGATAACAGCTAATGCTGAGTGTCCAGTCAGGCCAAGGGCCAACATGCACCAGGACGACGACGCATTGCAAGAGGCAGACACACCTTACCTGGTGATGGGGGAGGGGAGAGCAAGGTGCATCTGCCTCCTGGAGTGCCCTCTCTGACTACCCCAGTGCCATTCCGGCTCTGTGCCCAGACGGGATCTGACAGCCCGGCACGGAGCCCGAAGCTGCAGGGCTAAGGCAGGGAGATGCAAGTGCCCCTTGGGGCAGCAGGGGGAAGGGTGAGCACGCACTGACCCCTGTCACCTGGGGTCACCCACAGGACAGCAGCAGGCGCTAACCTGGCCCCTAGCCAGGGTAGCAGCATAGGCCCAGTAATAAGGGCTGTGACCCCCATTAGCCAATTCCCGACCCCTGGAGGAAGAAGAGCCTGCAGGATCCGTACCCCATTGACATTTCTCTGCCATTACTGAGAGGGACCATGCCCCACCCTCCCATACGGACTGCTCCCCTCCCCCCACTGATAGAGACCAACCCCCCACCCTGCCATACGGACTGCTCCCCTCCCGCACTGATAGAGACCAACCCCCCACCCTCACATACAGACTGCTCCCCTCCCCCACTGATAGAGACCGAGTCTTTCCCCCACCTCTGTACCCATAGCCCATCTCCCAGGCCCTCCTGTACCCGTAGCCCAGCCCCCCAGCCCTGGTACCGGCAGCTCAGCCCCCTCACAGGGCTCGGCACTCGGAGCAGCTGTGCACAATCGATGTACTTGTCCTGTCAAAGCATCGGGGCACCACACCGGACACTGCTGGTCTCTGCTCGGACAGCCCCTGGCACGAGCCTGTAACCTGAGGCCTGTCCCTGCACAGCCTGGCTGATCTCCGCCAGCCCGGACGCCTCTGCCCGTGAACAATGGCCAGCCTGCTCCATTATTGATGTCTTGGGGCACGGCCTGCTCGGCTCCATTCACCAGCAGAATAATTGAGGAGACGGTGAAATGTCCTGGGATGGGGGCAGCTGCCTGCCTTCTCTCAGCAGGCCAGGCCCAGACACCCTGACAACTGGGGGTCCCAGCCAGCAGCCGGGGCTACAGCAGGGGTCTGCAGGACAAAGAGATCCTCCATCTCCAGGCCCAGAGGACGGCTGTGCTGCATTCCAGCTGGTCTTCACCCGCCCACTACCAGGCGCTGTGTGTCCTACATGGCAGGT